TCCTATACAAGCAGGACACAGAGAAAAAGCTCACCTATGAACTTGGGAAGATGATCGCGTCTCACATGTCGTACTCTGAAGATTTGGAGCTCGCGAATATTGCGGTCGACTCTCTGATGACCATTGAAATCAGGGCTTGGTTGAGACGGTACGCTGGACTCGAGGTATCGTTGGTGGAAATCTCCAAGGCGGGCACAGTTACTGGGCTCAGTAAAATTACTCTTAAGATGCTCCGCGAAAAATACCAGTCAGGCGAGCTGGAGATTGCGAATGCCAAAGACGTGGCATGGGGTTCCGGAGAGGAAGATGAATTGAAACTTTGCCTGCAGGATATTGAGCTGGGCAAGGACATTGAGCGACTCTCGGCTCAAGTCGCGGACTGGTATGCTGACGGTGAAGGGCGTGTCTTCATGACGGGGGCGACAGGATATTTGGGAGCATTCTTCTTAGCTCTCCTGTCTGGTTTACCGCAGGTCAAGGAAGTCGCTTGTCTTGTTAGGGCTGAGGACGTGGCGTCTGGAGTATCTCGGATCAAAGAAGCTCTGGCTGGATATGGGCTTCCTTTCGACTTTGAACAGAAGCTTCGCATTATCCCAGGAGACATCAGTAGCCCCACGCTAGGACTCAGCACAGAGGAATTCGACGAACTCGCTCGGTGGTCCAGCGTTATCTTCCATTTCGCGTCCTACTCCAACTATACACTGCCGTATTCCTCACACCGAGAAGCAAATGTTCTCGGCCTGGTTAATGTGCTCCGCTTTGCTAACACTGGACGCCCCAAGGCGCTTCATTATGTGTCCAGTATATCCGCCTGCGGAGTGGCGGGATACCTGGCCGGGCAGGTCATTCCGGAGGACCAGAGGCCAGAGTTTGATCTTGACATAGTCAAAGAGCACATTGGCTATACCCAGAGCAAGGTCGTTGCGGAGCATATAGCGTGGAATGCCATCTCGAATGGTCTCCCGCTGACCATATACAGGCCTGGATTCGTCATGGGCCACAGCGTCACTGGGGCCCATAAACAGCAGGACTTTATTAACCGTCTGATGGCCAACTGTCTTCGCATCCGCAGCTATCCTGTTGCTCCACATGCCCGAAACCAGTTCATTCCAGTTGACTTTGTCTGCTCCTCCATGCTGCGGATTTCTCTGTCTAGTGGAAACCTCTGCCACGCCTTCAATCTTGTTCGGCCTGACCAGACACAAACCGTTACGTGGGAAGAGACATTTGAGATCCTCAACCAGAATTGTACCGTGCCGCTGCAGCGCGTGTCTCCAGAGCAGTGGATCGACATCTTTGCCGAACATGGCAACGAGAGGGAGAAGGCGGGGGTTTCCTTATTGAAAGAGAGACTGGATGGGCACTTGGTCTGGTGGGCCGTCGATAAAGGCACCATGGCTCTTTATGAGACGAGCAACATGCGCCGAGCCCTTTCGCAGTTCCCGGAGATTCTTGAAGTGCCTTCTGTGGATGATCTGATCAAAACCTACTTGCCTCTATGGAGCAATCAAAAGTAGGGAGTGGTGGTGATACAACGTGTATGCATTCCGCGACGCAGTGTATACAGGCTGGCAATGTCTGCGATGTCTACAATCGGTATACCCGCAATAGTATAGATATTAAATGGGTCCATAACATAGACACAGCCAAATCTATAACGCATATTCACTGTGTGTCTGTCTGTTATTTAAGTTTAAACTATGGTTGAGAAGGCAGTATTTGTCAGTTGCCTGGATATATGCCGAGGTTTCATCCCTTGAGGGTTCAAGTGTCGTCTATGAATCAGTGGTTTGAGTGAAGGAATATGAGTATAGGCTCACAGGTCTATAATGAGGTGCTATAATCATTACATGTAGAAATAACACCAACATCATAAGAACAATCACGGACAAACCACACGCGTTTCCAGGCTTTTAATGTATTCGCCCTGTACACTGACGATATACCTTCATACTGGGCTAATGGGAAATCAATTCTTGTCACAGGTAGACGCATAGTCATCTAGCCCTTGAAGAATGACACCTTCCCAAAGCTCCGGCCCCTTGAGATACGCATTCATCTTGTCGCACATATCCTTTGTGATGAACATCGAGAGTTGTTCCATCTCACCCAGCACTACAGGCATCATATTCTCTTTCAAGCAGGTCCCCACAGCCTGCATTGCCTTCTGATCCTCGCATAGATTGGTCTCCCCTCCGCCCGCAGCACACTTCTCTTCAATCTTCTTGGTTATATCTCCGGAGATACTGTCCGCAACACTGGCAAAGCCGGACAGACCCATTTTGTCCATGCTGGTCGTGACGATCTGGCTGACTATTTTGGTGTTGATCCATTTTTCAAACTGCGGTATTGTTACAGTACAGCCTTTCTTGCAGACGCGTTCGTCAAACGCCTGTATGGTGGTGTCGAGTTTGCCGGGGATGAAATCTGAGATGGAGGTGCAGCTTGATGGAAGGGTGCAGAGGATGGGTGCAGCCAGAGTAAGAAGACCGTATAACGACAGAGTAGCTGTAAGATGCATCTTGAATGTTTTCCCAGGAGATTGACACTGCGCCCGTAGAGCAAGGACGAGTCCTTCCTTGAGCTGTCGAAATTCGCTGTTGTCGACGATGTATATTTTGTCAAACCTATAGAATGATGAAGCATTATGCCATATGTCCTGTCTGCGCCAAGAAGCCCCTTTATTCCTTTGGGGAATGCCAAATCTGCCCCTTGCATGACTCAACGGCTATGAATGCTTGAATGTGGCAGGTAGGTCGGGTTTATAGTGTATGCAAGAAGGGATATTCAGGGCGGAGCCACATAAACAAGTATCAGAGTTACACTGCATACACGGGAATTTAGCCTCAACTGCAGGATATTCGATGCCTAATAGTGCTCCCCTGTTTTCCCTGCTGTTTTTCATACTATCTACCTAAGGAGTATTCGCTGCTATGGCCGCGACGTCACATTCCGGATATGCTCTACGGAATTTGTCCCTCCCTGTCTTGGGCCAGTTTGATAAGTAGGAATGAGCAGTGTCCCTGAGGCGCCAGCTATAAAGCCATGACATGAAACAAAATTTAAGACATCCTCAATCATACTACACTCCTGATTTGATTTCAACCAACCCAATCTCATTCTTTCCTCAGACACAATGCTCTTCTCCCGCGTGACCCCAGTAGCCCTACTCATCGCCCTCGCGACGTCCTCCCTGGGCGCAGTGAACACCAAACAGGCTATCGAAGGCATGAATTCCCTCCAGAATAGCCTCGCTGAGGCCCGCAAGAGCATCGAGGGATGGAACGGCGGCCTTCTAGGCGCCATCCCCGTCGCCAGCAAACTCCAAGGCGTGAAGAGTTCTGCCGCCGACACACGCAAGACCATCGAGCAGTCTGATGCTTTTGGCGATGATGACCAGGAGGATGTTCTGGCGGCTTATCAGCAATTGCAGCCGGAGATTGTGGGAGCCCTCAATGCAGCGGAGGAGAAGGTGAGTCACCCCCCCGCCCTATATAATGGCCAGCAGTGCTGACCCAGATCCAGGCGCCGGCCTTCAAAGATGCCGGAGTGGCCTTCGTGGCCAGGGCTATGATGGATGATCTCAAGAGTGAGAAGGAGAAATTCGAGACCACGATGCAGGGAAAGGTCCCTGCTGAGATGTACCGCAGCGCTGAGCCCAAGGTTGCTGAGGTCAATGCTGCCTTTGATAGTGCTCACAAGGCGCTCTCTGCTTAAGTGGCTGAGCGCTGTGCCTGTGGAGCACAGTGATGCTAGCGAAGGGATACTTACTGCGTTATTGTTCTGGGCTTATCTTGCGATATAATTTGAGAATTAGTTGTTCCATCAGACTTACATGTTGACACCGTCTCTACGTCCTGCTGGCACAGTAAGTAGCCTGACAAGGAAAGTATAAACTACTCGGGACCAAGTCCCGGTGGACTGTCCTGAAGTCGACAGATAAAACATGACACACGTACTACTGCGGAGAATGTAGAAAGTTGAATGCATACCTAGCATGCAAGGCTCTGGATTCCCCAGGGTTACCATGTTTTTCGACACTTGATAACGTGAATTCATCCCTTTGCATAGCATGGCTTTCTCATGCCCATAACTGTGAGATTTGTTAGAGCCAGATATGCACGTAATATATAAGCTTCCTAACTTAACAACGAGGGTCTTGACGAGGCCAGAACAAGATACAATCGACAAAATTAGAAGAAAGAACCTCAAGGAGCTAATTTTCAGGGCTTAAGATTCTCAGTATATCTTGACTTAAATCAGTAGCAACCAATGTTTGATTATTTTAATATTGATTCGGAGTATACCATGGTTTGTGGTAGCAAGGCAGCACATCTCTTAGTCGCATCAAGCCAGAGTGGTATGCTCAAAAGGCCTCTTTCTTGCTCTACTCTGAGGCTTAAGTATAATCATGAAGTATGTGACATTATAAGCTCTATGGTTGGCAAATAAAAATGACAAAGTCAGTTTGAATAATAATAACAGCTGTAGGAGCATCCCTTGTAAATATAATAAACAATGGTTAGGAATTCACCTAGGGGGTTTAACGACTTACTCAACTTTCCTTTCTTTCTTCTTTGTTTTCCCAGGTGAGAAGAGGCGGGAGAAGGAATATATATCACATGGGGCTTCCTTTTTATTAAGAGCAGACAAAAAGAGCTACTTAGCCAGGATAGACCCTTATAGTTATGGATTTTTCTATATACCTAGGCTGCTAATGCTTAAGTAGCAGCGCATTCTCCTCTTGCAACAGTTAACTACTCAGTGAGGCTTGAACCTAGGTTTACTGGCTGCGCTGGCCAATTTAGGATGGATGTTGACGAGCTCAAGATAGAGTATTCCATGTTTTCTGGAAGTTTTTAGGTAGAATAGCCCCGAAGGACAGTCTAGCTTTCTGGGATAACTCATATCATACACCAACTATCTCTAGGCTTGAGACATACAAATCAGGCTCCTGCCGCAATCAACTTATCAAATGAATACTGCCACCTCGAACCAAGTTACCCACGGCGGGCAAAGTCACGGGCATGCACGCTGTTGGAACGAGAAAGGAGAGCGCCCAAAGCAGCCCGAAGATCAGCGAGAAGCTGTGCGGCAGTGGTGGGGGTGGGCAGCTGTGCCGACGAAGGTTCAGCAGGGGTTGCCGCATTAGTGTTGGGCGCAGAGGCTGCAGGCGTTGTCACAGCCTGAGAGGCTGGGGTTGCAGCTGGCTCTGTAGAAGGGGTAGAAGACGGCCGAGCGGTTGCTTGGGGGGTGGAGGAAGTGGAAGCCGAGGGGTTGGAAGCACTCGAAGCACTGGACGAGGACGAGCTGGAAGAACCAGAAGATGAAGAACCGGGAGAACCAATCTCCTTCGTGATAGGTGCCTGCTCCACATAAATGCCAGACCAGAACCAGTCTTCCGGTGCGTCGTTGGAGGCTCCCCCGTTGGGCAGGCGCAGCTGGCCGACGTGCCAGTCCGCCGAGTTGGTAGAGGTGGATGCGCTGACGGGCGAGACCACCTCGGTCAAGGGATCGGAGCCATTAGACGCCCAGAGGCCGACCTTTTGGGACGCAAAGTCGATATCGTAGGCGAAGTTGTACCAGTTGCCTGGCTCCAGCTGGACGGACCAGTGTGTCTGGCCGCCTGCATTCCAGCGCAGGGTGTTGTCGGATGAGCCGGACGCGCCATACTTGAGCTCAGTGAAGTGGCTCTCGAAGAACGCGATCTGATGTTCGAAGGATGCGTCAGGGGCATTTGTTGTCTTCGTGGACAGGGAGAAGTGATAGTAAAGATGGCCTGAGCCAAGATTGGCGGTTGTCTGGGGGATGAGTTCAGATCGCTCCATGTTTTGTCCATTCCAGAAGGAGGTTCCATCCTTATTACTGTTAGTCACTCTTTCACAAAGGCACGAGTGAATGACATACAATGGTGATTCGGACCCCCTGGGCGTCGCTCGTGTCGGCTGGGTTCTTGAAGTCGGGGGACAGGCCCAGATACTCGCTTGTCTTGCCACTGCCATGGATGTACCATTGCCATGATCCAATTTGGTTGGACCAGGACCCTATATTATCAGTGAGAGTTCAAAATCAGAGTCAATGGCAGATGAATACATTTGTCAAAGTCCTCAACGGTAGCAGAAGAATCGAAAATGCCGCTCCATAGCACGGATCCAGCCAGCGAGGAAGCGGGGAAAGCAAGAAGAGAAATGAATGACCTCATGGTGGGAGAAATGCAGTAAGGAATGTAAGAGAACAGAAAGTGTGACCGGCACAGTTGGTTGAACAAGTGACTTGTGGGCTGTAGAGCATTAAAGTACTCGCACAGGTGAAATGATCAAGGGTGGAGCCTGTTAGGGTTAGATTGGTGGGCGAGTGCTGAAACACACCATTTCCTCACTGGTACTTAAGCTTGTTTCACTTTGATCAACAGGTCTCAGTCTAAAGCTTGATAGATTGGCACGATTCAAACAATTTAGATACACCCTGGAAGTCTGGCCTATGGGTGGGGCGCTTCCTGACTATCCTGTAATACCATTATTTCCACCCGTCAGAGTCTGAGTAGCAGGAAGAAGACATCGACCCATTGCAGTATGGCCTCCTCAGTTCGCATCTATCCGCAGTCGCTTCCGAATGATATCATACTATTTATGTGCAAGATGTTAATGATTTCCCCCTGAATCGGATCACATACATATGTGCTAGACCCAAGTGGGCAATTGGATTCCCCTCTCTCTGTATCTGCCAGATTCGGAGCGCAATATGCCTCGTGGACGGCCTCGAGTTCACGAAAACGATGAAGCTCCAAGACAAGTCCGTAATCAACGTCGACGCCAGCGACGACGCAAACACCCTTCGGTCGTTGAGGGTTACCACCTCTTGACTTACTCCGGAACTCTTCTCGCTCCTCCATTGACGGCCATCATAATGACCCATTCGAAGAAATTGTTTGGAATGAGAGTTCTGTGCAGCAATTTCAGAGAAGATTACCATTTCAGTTGCTTGGAAATTTTTATGTACTGCGGACCCTAGGCCTGGACCCCGACTTTGGACATACTCTGATCAGCGCAGAACGCACTGGGTACGAAGCGAGCAGTCGAGGCTACGCAGGCTTGCGGATGCTCAGGATGAATCCCGAGAAAGCGACAGGTGCACTTGCGGCCTTCTACGAGAAAATTCACATCTGGTATCCGATACTTCCACTGGGATTTCCAGGACAGTACTCCCACATCCTGTCCGGTATGCTAGCCCCATCCGCTGAATCGTGTCTCGCCCTACTGGTGGCCGTGCAGGACGAGGAGAGGAGGAGCAGGGCAAACTCGACGAGCGGTCGGAATTGATATTCTTCGAGGCTGTCCTGTCATCTCTTCCAATTGTCATTCCCGAATGCTGTATGGTTACTGTGCAGTGCGCGCTGCTGTTTGCCATATACTACGGTAGCCTGATGAAACCATGCCAGGCGCATGACTACAGCTTAATTGCCTCCTTCAAGTTTCAGAACTGGTTGAAAAGATAAGGTGACCGCAATGTCCTGTGCGTACATAACAACATAACAAGTCTCATTGGAGAAATCCTATCTAGTTTCCACGGTACGATAAATGAAGACGCAGAGAAGTCGGAGGTAACCAATCATGCTTACTGGACAGCTCTGCTACTCGAGAAGTACGTGGCTATTGTTGAAACTCACCCTTATGGCTCCCTAACAATGCACTACTGTAATGAGCTTAGCGAGCAGCTGGGTATGGCGAAAAGCGACCTCTGGAGTTATGATGAGTATATTCCCCTTTCAGACTGCAGGCGAACGTGGGTAGTTGCCGTTCCTGGGACGGATTCTGGGCCGAAAGCAACCTCTCCAACTACAGTGCCTTCACCCAGCAGTATCGCGGCTGATTCATCCGAATCGTACTTCCTGGCTGAGATAGCCATGCGACGCAGGCTGCACCGCCGCAATACAGCCGCCCAGCAAACTTCCGACGCTACGAGTACGCACCGGGAATAGCGTCAGAGCGCGAACACCAGTTGGAGAGCTGGTGCTATGATCTCCCGGACATCATGCGGTTCAAGAAAATAGAAGATCATCCTATATCTCCGGGAGCAACTTCTGGTCGTCCACAGCAATTCCCTCTTACGACCTTCCTCCGCGTGCAATATCATTGCTGCAGATTGTCCATGTACTGGCGTGCATTATACCAGGCGATTTTGGACGGATGGACGACGTGTGTTCAATAGCTGGACCACTGCAAACGTTTCTTCAATTCCCACATTCGGCTCATGTATAGCATTGTCGATGCTTTCCAAGTCTGCGCCCTGTCCGGCTAACAGCAAGCCCTAGTTCTGGATTCTCATGGCTAAATACAATCTTACCAAGAGTGTGCCAATTATGGATTTCTCAGGGTGATACGGTAAACTCCTGGTATGCTAGAAAATACGCGCAAGTGTGGGAGTCAGCCTAGTACTTAGGCCGTACTAGTTATGCAAGTATGCTGCGCCGCGGAATCACTCCTTCCCATGAGGCTGATAAAATGCGACTGCTACCCCGGGAGCGAGGTAGCCTCAATTCTATTTTCTTGTCTTTAACACTTTTCCACCCTTTCCAGTAGACCCATATGTCTCATGCGATGGAGGATAACGCTTTACATCAGCTACAACAAGAACAGTCCAAGCTTCTGGATAAGGTCGATGAGCTGCGCACCATCGGCGTCGGTAGCCTCGTGGAACTGCCCCAGCTGATTGTTTGCGGCAATCAGTCAAGCGGGAAAAGCTCCGTCCTCGAAGCCATCTCTCGCGTCCGGTTCCCGGCGAAAAGTAATGTCTGTACACGGTTCGCGACTGAGGTGATCCTGCGACGGAATGCGTCATTCTCTAAAATCAAGGTGTCCATTGAGCCCGGTCCTTCTCGCACAGACGAGGACGAGCGACGGCGACTCCGGAGTTTTGCTTATGAGGACCTCTCTAATGGCAATGACCTGCCCCCCCTGATCGAGAAGGCAAAGGAGCACATGGGAATCACAGAGTCGGTTAACGCAGGCTTCAGTGATGACGTGCTCAAGGTCGAGATTTCAGGACCGGACAAACCGGAGCTGACTCTCGTTGATCTGCCCGGCCTGTATTACTCTACTAGCCAGGAGCAGGACTCACGGGGTATTCTGATAGTTCGCAAGCTGACGGAGAGATACATGAACAATCCAAGGAGCATTATTCTTGCTGTGATCAGCGCAAAAACCGATTACCATCTTCAGGAGGTCTTGAACATTGCGGAACGATTTGATCCAAAGCGCGAGCGCACGCTTGGAATCATTACTCAACCCGATATTCTGGAGGCGAATTCGGAAGAGGAAGATACTTATCTGCACTTTATCAAGAATGAAAAGATTCATCTAGACCTGGGATGGCATGTCTTGCGCAATCGGTCGTTTGAGACCAGGGCTATCTCGGACGACGCCCGCGACGAGATGGAGAAGGCGTTCTTCAACCAGGGACGATGGCCATCGCTCTCACGGGAATGCGTCGGCATCGAAAGTCTACGTCGCCGCCTTAGCAGCATATTGCTCAAGCTTATCCGTCGGAATCTTCCGGGGCTGATCACAGATATCCAAGGCAAGGTGTCTGATCGACAACAACGACTTTCGAAACTGGGGCCCCCTCGGTCCACTCTTCAGCAGCAGAGAGGCTACCTACTCAACATTAGCAGTAACTTCGAGCGCATCACTTTGCAAGCTTTGAATGGCATGTATGCAGATGAGTTCTTTGGTGGCTTGGATGATACAGGGAGTATCGAAGACTTCCGACGACTAAGAGCTGTTATACGCCAGCTGAATGAATACTTCGCAGACGCAATGGCCATTCGAGGCTACCGCAGGAAAATAGTTGACCGGGGCCCATTACCCAGCATGGGTGACTTGCAAGTTGCTTTCGGGAAGCCTTACATGGATGACTGGAAACCAGAATATGTAGAGCGCCGTTCGATCGAAGCAGAGATCAGCAAGCAAGCACGCCACAACAGAGGCATTGAGCTTCCAGGGAATGCAAACCAACTTCTCGTGGGGAGCCTCTTTCGCGACCAGTCCAAACCATGGGAAAGCCTCGCGAAAGGACACTTAATAAAGGCTTGGGAGTCAGCGAGATATTTTGCCTTTCTCGTTCTACAACACATTACTGACGACCATACCTATTCCTTGCTGGTTGGCTCAATTATCGATGCAGAATTCGAGAAATTGAAGCAAGCATTGCTTGACAAGCTTGACGAGCTGACCGCATACACGAAGAGAGGTCACCCATTGCCCGTGGGCAAGAGCTTTCTCTCACAAATTCAGAAGGCCAGAAGCAAGCGTCAGCTAGAATCGCTAGGAGCAAATCTCCAAGCCAGTCGACAGGATGAAAAGGGGGAAAAGTACTTTTCGATGAAAGACCTCGAGCAAGCCACGTCGTCGACGGAAGCTTCCCGGGACGAATTTGCAGCCGCCGAGATCATCGACCAGATGGAAGCGTATTATGAGGTAAGAAAGCCTTCCTTTGCTCAAGCTACGACTGCATCGTTTCTAACAGATACTCCAGACTGCAATTGTGACGTTTGTCGATAATGTTGCAACTCTAGGCATCGAAAATTGTCTTCTTGACCCTCTGCAGCGCATATTTACCAGCCAGGTTGTGAATAACATGGATGATAATCAGATCCGAGAACTTGCCATGGAACCGCCTCATATACATGAAGAACGGCAACGGTTAGGCCGTGAACTCGACAAATTGCAAGCTGGCCTACGGGCCCTCAGCGTCTTCAACGCCCAGAAGCCGTCATTGGGTAATCCACCCTTATTGAGTAAGCTCCAGAGTCCTTGCATGAAGAATTACAGTATAACAGGACCTCGCTTGCAGTAAAACGGCCGGCTGCAGGACTATCGGATGGTCTTAGTTCTTCCCGTGAAGAAAGCCGTCCAGGACCAACAATAGCCCCAGCCAATGGAAACCCCTGCACTGTAACCGAGTCGACCGCAGCCTTTCAGTCTCCCGGGTGTGGGTCTATGTGCTTTTTTTCCTGAACAGAATCTTGCTAATTCGGGCGAAAGCTGCCAAAGCTGCGGAACCGAGACCACCCTCTGTCCCTGATTCGGCCAAGGCTTCGCCGGCGGCTTCTGGGAATCTATCTAATACAGTCGTATCCGAACAAAAGTCAGGTTTTGGTGGTTTTGGTGGCTTTGGTGCAACGTCATCCGACAAAATGCCTGTTCGCGGCCTTTTTGGTGCAAGCCCATCTGAGCAGAAATCTGTTTCTAGTGGCTTGGGTGCATCCTCATCTGATAAAATGCCTTTCAGCGGCCTTTTTGGTGCAAGCCTATCGGAGCAGAAATCTGTTTCTGGTGGCTTCGGTACAGGCACATCTACGAGCATCAGCACTAAACCTATGACAGGCACTAGTACCGGTACCTCTACTACCGTCCAGCAGTCTGGCATGGGCTCCACCAGCAAGAGGTGAATTCTCCGTTCGACTCACCGAAATTTCAAGGCTGGGCTCAGAATCTGTAGGATTGGGCTTCTCATGTTATGCAAGAGCCCTTCCATCTAGTATTCTTGATTTGGATATTCGCATCTGCATATGAGGTATCTAACACTTGCCTTAGAACCGTTGCACGTGAAACCCTAACGCATATCTCAGCTTTGAGTTCCTTTGTCAAGTATTCCCCCGAGGTCTGCCACCCCTTGGACCTCCACCTGGCACCCCATGCTTCGCTATTCGAAAACTGATGTATTGTGCTGATGGTTACCAATCCAGGAACTCCGACTTGCTTGGTACGATGCACTGAGTGGTAGACCCCGATGCTCTGTCGGACATCCTCCCATTGCATGGACGAAATCTTGAGCACACCGGCGCTGGCGCCAGCAGCAAATGGGACGAAGTGTCCTAAGACGACTTTGTGCTTAGTGAAACTAATTTAGCCGTGAGACGATGGGATTCGAACTTAGCACGGCTGATCAAACACTGCCATAAGATACAATTCCATCACGCTGGTGGTCGACAGAAGACTGGATTTGTTGACGTTTTTACTATGAATCGCCACGGTGAAGGCCAGTTTGCAATCTACAAGGCCAAAGTCCCTTTGGCCCTGAGAGCCGCAAGTCATGTATTTACCTGTTCGCTTGCCAGTTAAATTTAGGGGTCTAGCAAAGCTTACCATTTCCTTCGGATGAGCGTCCCCTGGTGATAATCAGGTTAGAAAAGACATAGTATGACAAATGGAAAGGCAGAAAGACCGACGCTCCCGACCAGGATGCAACGTCGCGTCGATAGTCTCCTTGGCCTGCCACACCTTCGGAGTCATATTGTGAATGTGATCCTCCAGAGATCGGAAGGAATAGTTTCCCATCCAAGTGTCCATGCTGTCGATTCTGGCTTTGAGGCGGGTCCTTCTCCGGTTCTTAAGTACCCCGAGCAGCAGTATTGTGGTGGCGGGTAAGCAATGGTTGAAGTCCGGCTCGAAAATGTTGAGGACATCTCGGACATCAGTATTGTAGAAACCAGTGACCATGCATTTGTTCAGCTGGCTCTATTTGTGCCATAGAAGAGAGAAATGCAGGTGTTATTCCCTTCTGCCTGGAACTGGGCGAAGCGGATGTCACCATCCGTGTGGCCCAGTATCTCAGTCAAAAACCAGCGTTGAAATTGTGCAGTCCGCAGAGTAGATCTGTCCGTTCTCCAGGCACTTCAGGCAGGGAAATCTAATTATCAGAGACAATGTTATAATTCAGTCTTTTGCTAACTCGGATTTGATTCACTGCTTCACTGCTATCGATATGCTTCGATAGTGGCTTGAACATATTCTACATACTGTGTGTACTTGTGTACGAATCTTGAAAGTAGGATGATATCAACAATGTTCTAGAAGAAGCTACCTAAATTTGGGTTGGATTTCGGTTGATCTGCACTATATCTGATCCAAGCATCCAATAACCCATGTGGATTATGAGTTGTCCGACCTTACAACATACTGAGAGATACTAGAATCTGGTCTAGCAACAGCCCATCCGTGCACTGCCTATCCGAATTCAGAAAATGTTTATTGGTAAAATAAAAGCTCCTATAGCCGAGTTCAACCTGATAAGGGGCCTGATAAGGGGCCTGGCAACAGTACAAAGGAATCAGTAATCCAGGCGCGCATGCAAAGTGTATTTGAATGAATCCTAGGGAAATAAAGTGCATAGACTAGTAATGTCTACCTCTAAAGTAAGAGAGCACATGCTTAAGATGACTAATAGTAAATTCCAGACGCACATATTGTAACACTCATAGATGTTTCAATCTTGACTTTGAAGACAAGCTGTAGCCGCTCGCAATTGCCTAAGGTCAACAGGGCAGTAGTATGCGAAGAAGCAGATATTTAACTCGAAAATCTAATTCTGATTCTAGTCGGGTGTGTGGTAGACTCTAGATATACGGTGGATGATTATGTTATCTCTGATGGCTGTTTAGCGAAATTAGATTCTGAAGCTATCCCGGTAAGTTAGAGAGAGCGCCGTGTAAGCAAGAAAGCCAGCCGGAAGTTACAGCAGGGGTCCCAGCTTCCACGAGGCTAGATCTCGTGTAGGAGAGGGAGACATGACAGTAGACTGATAGCTGCCTTCAGAGCCCAACAAAAAGCCAGGCAGTTCAAGTTTTAAACCAACGAGATTGCACACCAATACAGGAGGCAATGATAACGTAATGACGCTTCCCTTTGCAATAATCTTGGAATAGATGTTTAAACCAGAAAGACAGGGCGTACTAGGTCTCACAATAGTTAGTTAGTTAATGGCGAACACTAGCCTTCCGGCTCATAGCAAGTCTTTGCCGAGAAAGGCTCCTTGGCCTGGAGCCAGATGCGCTCCCTGAAGACGCATAGGGCGAGTTCCAAGAAGTTATTTCAACATCTGTAGTCCAGCCAAGGGTCATCACAGAGTTCTCTTGCTGTCGCTCGACATTCTGGGTCCCACTGCAGCGTTCTTTTAGCAAATCTAATAAATAACTGTTTGTCCTCTCCGTCCAAGAACAGTGTAAGGTTTGAGAAAGAGAAATCCTCTGGAGGGATCAACTCTGGATGCTTAAAGTCACCTAGAGAGACGTGTAAGTACAGAAGAAATCATGAAGAACGGAAAGTCGTACCATCGTCGGAGAAAAGCATAGAACGTATAGTCGGATCGACCCTCTCCAGAAATCGCAAAGGAGGCGGACCAAGGAGACGAAAGATCTGGGCCAAGTGAGCAGCACGGCCATAGGCATTAGCTCTGCGATCTTTGCCGTCGAAAAGATCGATTTCTCCGAGTAGCTCCCAAAGCTATTTAATGTCAGACATGGTACTCCATAATCATAACCGCATGTGCTTACCACATTCCCTAAATTCCATATATCCGTGCTATACGACCACGCAAACTCTAAGAGAACTTCCGGTGCGCGGAATTGCCGGGGTTGGATATCATGTGTATGAGGAGTAGACTGATCACCAAAAACGGCAGTACTGAAGTCCGTTATTTTGACACACCGCATGCCTCCTTGCAAACGCCCAAAATCAGGGCGTGACTGGTAGATACGACGACCAGCGCATGTCTTGTATGGAGGAGGATGGCTTTCCTGGTGGCGCACGTAACTGTCAAGGATGGTGTTGTTTTCGAATCCCACCAGGAAGTTTTCTAACTTAAGATCTTCTCATCTTGTCAACGATGCCCAAGAGAGATAAGGAGGAGGCAAATTACCAGTATGTATGATGCGGCATCAGTATGGAGGAAATCCAGACCGTGGAGCAGTAGTCTCAAGAAGGCCTTTAGCACATTAGGAGGGACGCCAATACGCCCGAGGTGTCTCCCCAAAAGCCAGAGCGGTTCTCTTAATGGGTCGAACACTAGACACGTATGTTCTCCATAAGGACCCTGGATATCGAAAAACTCATTTGCTACGCGGACATACTCCCGACCTTGATGGCTCGACTTTAGTTGAGAGATGTGGCGAGATATGAGGAGCTCTTCCTGGGCATATTCCCGATCTCTAACGCCGCAGTTCGAGATTTTCAAAGCGTAGTACCGGTCTGACTGCCAGGGCCATCTTCCACTAGTCAGACTAATTCAAAGAGATATGAATACAGCTTACCGCGAAGTGTCCTTAGCCAGCCATACGGTAGAATTGCCGCCCCATCCGAGTTTCGATATCAGGCGGTATTTGTTGTGAACAAGCTCTCCAATACGAGCAGGATAATACTTAGTTGCATCGTAACCGGCGCTGCTGTCTTCTTCATGGTTAATATCAGAATGGCAATCGCTCGAGTACCTGGCTACTGTTCTGGTCAAGAAGCGAAGCCGAGAAGCCTTGAAATGAAGCAGGCGTTGGATCGCCATTGAAATATTTAATTCTTCTGTAGCAGAAAAGTCGGTATACCGTCCTTAAATACCAGTATCGAGCACCGGGCCGTTATTACATTTGTCCGACATTCGGTGCCTGATCTAGTTAGCCTATTATCTTCCCACCGTTGCGCGCCAACATTCAATGACAAATAAGTTGATCAGGGACAAAGTTCTAGAAGACCTACGGCTATGGCTACATTACAAACAATAGAGTAAGATGGCTCCTCAGTAATCATTTTCGGTTAATTAGTACAAGCAATTCAGAACTACTTTCAGTCTTCGCGGGCCGAACCGAGCAGGACCCACAGTCCCACTATTCCCCCGCATCAGGCTTCCGCCGCTCCCACCAGGTCCCTTGTCGGATTGCCCGGCTTTAGGGAAGTAATCCATGGCTTTCTTGCCTGCATTGTACTTCGCTTTGAGAACCATACGTCTCTGCCCCCAAAGAAAGAAAACAAGGCCCCAACCTGATCAATTACTTCCAGCACAATATTTCCCCATGCAACAACCCAAACCACGCCTGTTCATCATCGACAAACTCCTTCCATCCTTCAGAAATATTCTCCAATTCCTCTTTTGTTGCATACCCTTCCTCAACAGCCGTCTTCGCCAAGCCCGAAGATCGCACCCTTTCCCCCATCGATCCGCCCCAATACTGCCTCTCCTCAGGACTACTAAAGCACCACGACCCAGTGCTCTTCTTAATATTTGCCCGATCAAATCCAGCCTCTTCCGCCCAGACATGAATGTACCGTCCAGGATGCGGGTTCCCGCCTTTTGCTTTTCCCATTTGTTGAGTCATTTCGAGCCAGCGGTCGATCCCGCGATTTTCTGGGTACCATATCATAGCCGCGGATTCCCTTGCTGCAACAATTCCCCCACTTTTCACAAGACGCCTCATCTCGCATAGCGCTTTGACAGGATCGGCAATATGTTGCAGCACCTGATGTACATGAACAATATCAAAGGTATTATCCGGGAAGTCGAGAGCGTGAATATCACCCAGCCGAAAATCGATGTTAGTCACGCCTTGCGAGGTGGCCAGGTGTCGAGCCTGGTCCAGCGGATCAGGGACGTTTTCGATCCCCGTGACATGACCTTGGTTTGCACGGCGGGCGAAATCGACACTGATTGAGCCGGGTCCACACCCGATGTCCAGGATTTTGGACGTCGGAGTTATGTGGGGTAGGAGGTAGGTGGCGGAATTGGACGCTGTGCGCCAACTGTGGGTTTTGAGGACAGAAGTGGAGTGGTCAGTTATGTAGACAGCCATTTTCCTTATCGGTTTTCAGTCTGGTCTGGTCGAGCTGATAGTTGTGTGGTTTGGCAGAAGATTGAATCAAAGTTGAACTTGACGCAGTTTATATATACTGTCAACCATGATCGGAGTTCCGGATCCGATTTACGGCAACCAATCAAGCGGCACCAGTAAGTACTTCGGGCCAATAAATACTAATTTAACAATTAACTCTGACATCTTCGGAGTACCGAAGGAAAGACGTCATGAGTAGAAGATCTCCAGTCCTCCGTCCCGACAAACCCCGTTTGTGTGGGAAGATTCGAAACACCATTGGGAAGAAAAGGCCAGATTTTGCTTTTTTTTTTCTTCTTTCCCCCCCCCCCCAGAATCATTACTGACCAGCAATTCGGATATCATGATGACGTGTCACATTCACTTGGCCACATATATGCCTACCTGGTTCCTACCGGTTCCTACCTGGTTCCTACCTTGATTAGCATGTAATCGCTAATCTTCATCACCTTGAATGGCTCCCCGTCTCGTACCCAAGCCAGGTACTGCTCCAAACGTCCCTCGTGACGCTAAAGAGACCTATAACACTCTTAAACGTGGTGGGGTTGTCATCGTCCCAACCGATGTCGGCTACGCCCTCTTAACCAGCTCACAGGCGGGAATCCAGCGGATTTTCTCAGCCAAAGACCGTCGGGAGGGCCACAACATCGGCATCATCGGAACATACAAACAACACCGAGAGATCCATTTGCTCTCTGAGGTCAAGTTTGAGATGACACGGGTCTTGACAGAAGATATGGCGATGATTGTCGGGCTCATTGCCAAATACGATACCAAAAACCTTCACCCGCGTTTGGCAACTCTTGATTCCTCCACGCTATCCCAGGTCACGAAGGGCGATACGATCAG